AAGGAGATGTTTACATGGCCAGTAGCTGTGGGGCTCTCCACATGTTGACTTGAAATATTCAGCTCAATCTGGACCTGGGGGTTTCTAGGACATGGTCTACTCATGTGTTTGAAGGATATTTGGAAGCAAGAATAAAGAGCTGAGGGGATTTAATAACAGTGAGCTTGAGTAAGATGGCGGCCAGTGTGACCTGGGCAAAGTTACACCTTTCGGTATCCACTGAAGTCAACGGGCTTTGAAAGGTATAACTCTGCTGATGCTGTGCACTACGAAGATGACTGTGTTCACCCAAAGTACAGAATAAGAGCAAAGGAGGTTTGATTTGTGGTTTACCTTAGAGATATCCATGAACCATACCTTTCCCTTTTCATTTATTAGCTTCATTGACCAGAGGTCTTAAGCCAACAGGAACCATACCAGTAGAAATCAAAGATGAATTCTAGGTTCTGAAATGTCAGAGTAAGGATTTCCAAGGGAACATAGTTGGAAGGAAGTTCTGAGGTTGCCAGAAGACTGTGTTCCGGAAGAAAAGGGCCCTTCGGTGACGGGTGTTTTTGTATTTTTTCTCCGAAAGTGTGTATCTTATGAAACGCCACAGGGTGGTGCTATTGCTCTGTAAAAGACCTCTTACTCGTTCAGGATTCACTTCTCCAGCCCTCTGTAGAACCAATGACTAAATGGGTAGCTCTTGCATTTGTTCTTTTAAGCTGCAAAGGCAATTTGAGCCTCAGAAGACACAGCATTTACTTCTGTATAAAGTCCTTTACAGACACTCCTTGTGGAGTAATTCGTTGACTTACAAAACTGCGCTAGTGCAGGCTTTAGAACATCTAATTCTACCAATACTTGCTGGTAGCAAGCCTAAAAGTGCATTTTCATTGTGGATATAAATTAATCACCTCTGTGGGGAAGTTCGGGAAGATGGGGCTGAAAACCTGATGTAGAAAGCTCAATGTCCTTGCCGAACTGCGATTTCCAGGATTCTGCGAGAGAGCCACGAGAGTTAAACGTGGTAGTGATTGGAGAAGTGTGTAAAGGACTGGTATTCTGAGCATCAAGTGAATTGGTAACTTCTTTTTTAACCTTTTTTTTTTTTTAGTATGAGAGATTTTTTTAAATGCAATCCCCTACAAAACGGTTAGCAAAGTGGCATATTTGATGTTCTTCTTGATGTCTGTCTTTTTTTTTTAATGGCCTCCACAAAGAGACCACTTAAAATTAGCATAGAGAGTACTGGGGCCAAGGGAGATGAATGGAGGTGGGGTGGGATTTTTCTTCCTCCATGAGTTCCTCTGCTTGCTCTTTACAATTTCAGATATAGAAAGTGTAGGCACAGTCCATATACTCCAACCAGAGTTTAATATCCTTAAATCCTGTTGATGCGAGCAAGATAGTTAAATGAGTGTTTAGCTCTTTTCCACTGAAACTCGTGAGACCTGGAAGTATGTAGTTTTGGCTGCACCTTCCTGTCCACTGGGACCATCTCTCCCCAAATATGCCTGTGCACCAACTACAGTTTTCAGGTTACGATCTACCTTCTTGGGGTAGCTCACCTGGCATCGACCAGAGCCTGTGCTCTTTCTGTGGTAGCTCCTATCCTGTGGAATAAGGTTCCTAAGGACATGATGACCACTATCTTTAGAAGTTTTTAGGAAGCTCTGCGAGGCCATTTGATTCACTAGGCCTTTTCATGGGATGTAGCCTGAAGGAAATCACCCTGAGCTGGGTGGCCCAGGATGGGAGATCGCCAAGGAAGCTCATGGATGGGACATCACCAAGGAGGTCCAGGGTCGCTACACAGAGGCAGACATTGACAAACTACCTCTGAACATCTCTTGCCTTGAAAACCCCACGGGGGTTGCCATAAGTCAGTACAAAGTGATGCACATTGGGGACAAAAATCCTAACTATAAATACACGTTGATGGGGTCCGAACTGGCAGAGACTGACCAAGAGAGAGATCTTGGAGTTGTAGTAGATAACTCACTGAAAAATGTCGAGACAGTGTGTTACTGAAATAAAAAAGGCCAATGCTATGCTGGGGATTATTAGGAAGGGAATTGAAAACAGATCAGACAGTATCATAATGCCCCTGTATAAATCAATGATGCGACCTCATTTGGAATACTGTGTGCAATGCTGGTCACCACACCTCAGAAAGGATATTATAACACTGGGGAAAGTGCAGAAAAGGGGAACTGGAATGATAAAAGGGTTGGGACACTTTCCCTGTGAAGAAAGGTTGAAGTGGCTGGGGCTCTTTAGCTTGGAGGAATGACGACTGAGGGGTGACATGATCGAGGTTTACAAGATTATGCATGGGATAGAGCAGATAGAGAAAGAAGTACTTTTCTCCCTTTCTCACAATACAAGAACTCGTGGGCACTCCATGAAGTTGCTGAGCAGTTGGCTTAGAACGGATAAAAGGAAGTGTACAGGATTAAGCCCCCCAAGCCAGTCCAGGAATGGGAGGGAATCCTGTACTTTTACAGTACATTAAACAATAACCCACGAGATGGTCTAAACCCTCTCTGGTTTCAGAACAATATGACACCAGAACCTCTACATTAGTTCCCCCCCCCCCAACCTGAGATTGGAGGTTCAAACTCTCAGTTGGTATCTGGAACTTAACACATTAGCAACTCATTCCCAGAGATGCACACTTTTCACTCTCCAATAGTAGCGTATATGGTGAGCGTTTAGGCCATAAGATTTAGCCTTGGAATTCAGGTACAACATCAGAGACCATTTAACAATCAGAATAATTTTTATTCAATACAGAGCATAGCACAGACTACCAGAGATTATAAAATAACAAGCCTAAAGCGATTTGCCTTAACTACACAGTAAAAGATACTTATTTACCAAGTTCAGGAGCATCCAAACAGTCCACGGGATTTTGAAGGCAAAATCCATCTTTGCATTCCATGTGCTTTAAGTCACAAAGCAGTCCTTTATCTCTTCAAAGGACAGCATTTCCAGGTGCAATAAACAAGCAGTCAGAACAAGAGCAAGAGAAGAGAGAAGAGAGCAAGCCAGCTCTCTCATTGGGATCAAACAATTATAGTCCAATTCCAGTCATGATCAGCCGTGGCCATGCAGCCAATCACGAGTGGACATAGGTGTGTCCAATTGTTGGTTGCCATAGCTGCAACACAGGATTGGCTAGAAGTTTGGAGACTCCTCCTGCAGTCAGGTGATCCAGCTTCCGGCTACTTCATTTAGTACGTGACTTGTCGCATGTGGGGCAGAAAGTGTAGCCATGAGGTCTGGCGTTTGGCA